GGCTAACATCCGTGCCCATCTTCCTCCACTTTATATGGGATGCCACCACAGCATGGCTTGCCAAGCAGTGCGTTGGTGCGTGCCCGGGATCCGAACTGGCAAACCCCAGGCCTCCGCAGCGGAGTGCGTGCACTTAACCGCTTGCGCCACTGGGCCGGCCCCCTGCCTTCTCTGGTTTTAAGTGAGCATTTTATGATTCCATTTTCTCTCCTCACTTAGTATATCAATTATACTTCTTTAAAAAAGTGTTTTAGTGGTTACCCTAGAGTTTACAGGGTAACCACTAATCCAAGTCCATTCGTTTACCCTAATCCAAGTCCTTTCTCAAATTACACTATACTGCTTCACTGGTAGTGCAGGCACCTTATAACAGAGTAATCTCAACTCCTCCCTTTCATTTCTTAAACATTGCTGTCATTCATGTCACTTATCCATACACTATAGTCACCTCATACATTGTTATTATTATTACTTTTGAACAAATAGTTATCTAGTAGAGCAATTAAGAATAAGAAATAAAAGATTTTATTTTACTTTCATTTATTCCTTCTCTGATACTCTTCTTTTCTTTATGTAGATCTGAGTTTCTGACCTATATGATTTTCCTTCTTTCTGAAGAATTTCTTTTAACATTTCTTGCAGGTCAGGTCTACTGGTGATGAATTCTCTCATTTTTTGTCTGAGAAAGTCTTTATTTCTCTTTCACTTTTGAGAGAATTTCTCTGGATATAGATATCTAGGTTGGTGGATTTTTTCTTTCAACACTTTAAATATTTCACTCTACTCTCTTCTTGCATATATGGTTTGTGAAGAAAAGTCTGATATAATTCTTATCCTTGTTTCTCAATAGGTAAGTTGTTTTTATTCCTCTGGATGCTTTTAAGATATTCTCTTTGTCTTTCTGCACTGTGAATTTTATATGCTTGGGTATAGATTTCTTGGTATTTGTCCTATTTCTTCTTTGAGTTTCTTAGGTCTGTGGTTTAGTTTCTGTCATTAATTAAAGATAATTTTTGGCCATTATTACTTCAAATATTTCTTTAGCTCTATTATTTCCTTTTTCTCCTTTTGGTATTCCAATATGTGTATGTTACACTTTTTGGAATTTTTCCACCGTTCTTGGCTATTCTGTTCCTTTTTGTTTTTTCCATTCTTTTTTTTTCTCATTGCATCTCAGTTTGGGAAATTTCTACTGATATTACCTTAAAGGTCACTGATTCTTTCCTCAGCCATGTTCAGTTTATCCATGAGCCCATCACAGGCATTCTTCATTTCTGTTACAGTTTTTGAAAATTTCTAGCATTTCTTTTAGTTTCTTTCTTAGAATTTCTGCCTCTTTCCTTCCATCTGTTCTTGCATGTCATCTACTTTTTCTATTAGAGCTCTCAGCATAGTAACCATAGTTACTTTAAATTCCCCGTCTGATAATTCCAAAATATCTGTGATCTCTGAGTCTGGTCTGATGCTTGCTTTATCTCTTCAGGTTGTGTTTTTTTCTCCTTTTAGCACAAATTCTAATTTTTGGTTGAAAGGCAGACATAATGTCTTGGGTAATAAGAACTGAGATAAATAGGCCTTTAGTGTGAGGTTTTGTGTTAATTTGGCTAGGAGTTGGACTGTGTTTAATGCTTGCTGTAGGTGTCAGAGGCTTCAATTTGTACTAGTATACTTGTCTGTGTCTCCCTTTTTGTCTTTGGATTTCCCTAAAAACTCCTTCTTATATAGCACCTGAGTCTTGTGGCTCTTTCAGTTATAATACACTGTTAACACTGGACATCTGTTGATGTGGTGGTACGATGTGGGGGCACTGGAAGTGTTCTGTTATTCTATGATTAAGTCTTAGTCTTTTAGTGGCCCCCTATCCCCAAGCTGTGACCTTCATGAGTGTTTCTCAACTTTTTGTTTTCCCCTTAGGTGAGACAGGAAGACTAGAGGGGCTGAAGTTGGGTAATTTCCCTTCCCCCACACTGGATCAGGCTCTGATAAAATTTTTCCCCTTTCTGTGTAGGTCTTTGTTATGGAGAACATTTTGGGTCTAGTTCAAAATGATTAGTCTTCCCCTCTCCCTTTCAGAAGCACAAGGGTTTTTTCTTGGCTTTTCACCATGAGAACCTGGTGGGGTTCCTGGAGGTAAAAGCTAAAAAATTGTGGGAGGTCCCTAAGACTGTGGTCCCCAGGAGTTTCTCACTCTCACACTAGTCTAAACTCCACTTCCAGAAATTCTTCAGTTACCCATTAAGTGTTTCTACGAGTTTATGGCTCTGGCAGCTTCTGCTTCCAGTGTGCAGATCTCGGTCGTGATTCCCTGCATTCACTTGCCTTTCCAGATTTCGGGGTGGTGGTTTATCTGTGACCTCAGTTCTCTGAGAGGTCCAAGAAAAGTCATTGACATTCAGTTTGTCCAACTTTTTTTTGTTGTAAGATGGGAGAGATGCCTTTGAAGCTTTTTACATGTCAGAGGTGAAACCAAAAATCCTTCTTATTTTTAAAAATTTCATCATTTTAAAGATCAGGAAACTGAGGCTCACTGTGGTTAAATGAGTAGCTCAAGTCTTCTAACTCCTAAGCCAGTACGCCTACCTGCACCATCCTGCCTCTGGTTCCTATTAATACATCTCACAAGAGTAGTCTGGGGAACGCTCCACAGACAAAGCACATGGCAGAGCAGAAGGGTGTGGCAAGGCAGGACAAACAGGTGCACTGCTTTGAAAGAACAATACATCAAATCTCCTAATGGAGAATGTGGATTAGTAGCTGAGTATTCACTTTAGCTTTACAAAAGGGTTCAGAAAGAGATTCTTTTATTAGTAGGCTGCTTTAATAGTGTGTGATTAAATTTGCACAAATGTTATAAGCAAAGAATCCTCTTGAATGCATTCAGAGTCAACTAACAGCACTGAACACTCACTATGTCTCGGTCACCAAGCTAGACATTCTCACAGGGAAATGTTTCTGAATCGCAAGGACTCTGGGAGATAGGTCCCTATCTTCAGTATTTCCATCTTGCCGATAAGGAAACCATGGTTTCCTCTGAAACCATGGTTTAAGGGGGGCCTCTGACTCATGGGCAGTCTATCTGCAGCCAGGCGAGCCAGTGTGTGAGCTCCACACTGACTGTGCAGTGACACACATCTTCAAAGAGTTAACACAGGAACAACTTCTTCAAATACAAGACAAGGACAGATTCTTTTTGGTATAAGCCACCTCAAAAATCATCAAATAAAAATGGAGGAAGAGTGGTGGGACACAGTGCAGGTCATTTCCTTTCAAGGGCAGGGGCTTTCTGTGCAAAAATCCATGGCTGTGTTGCCATGGAAACTGAACATTTTTTAGAATACCAAATCCAGAGATAATAATCAGTTATAAAGGAAGGATAAAACAGGGCTATAAATGGCTTCCTTAAGAGCCCACGTTTCTTCTTACTTAAGGACTCGAGAAATTCTATATTAGGTATTTCCATTTTGCAGATAAGGAAACTATGGTTAAGATATATTTAAGGAGCTTTTCTTTGATATGAGAGTGAAGAACTAAGGAAGTTTGATTCTAATCTCCTTCACTTAAAAAATAATTGTCCAAGTGTAATATAGAGGGTATTTATTATTATTTTTTTATTTTTATTTTTCTGTGAGGAAGATTAGCCCTGAGCTAACATCTATTGCCAATCCTCCTCTTTTTGCTAGGCCTGGGCTAACAACTGTGCCCATCTTCCTCTACTTTATAAGTGGGACACCTGCCACAGCATGGCTTGATAAGTGGTGCATAGGTCCACGACGGGGATCCGAACCTGCAAACCCAGGGCTGCTGAAGCAGAGTGCGTGAAACTTAACCACTACGCCAACTGGGCCAGCCCCTAGAGGGTGTTTATTTTAATTGACAAGACAATGGTGACATGGCAGCAAATCAATGCGTTTCCTTGAAAAACAAAAAGACAAGAGTCCCCTTTCTAAACAAAAATGTTCAAATTTTCTAAACTTAAACATTACATGAAACTGAAAAGAATTCCTTTAGATCCTGCACTACGCAGGAAGTAATTTTTATGATGTGTAAAAATAAAACAAAATATTGGTCTAAGCCAGCACTTTATATGTCACAGGCAAGTCTTCTTATGCAATGACCAGTGCAAGACCCAGAATCATGCAGAGTGTTAACTGAAGACCTGCTTCCTTTGCAACGTTTCTCTATTTAGGCCATACTCAAGTCTAAACCATTGGTTCTCAAAACGTGGCCCCAGGATCAGCAGCATCAGCACTGCCTGGGAACTTCTTAGACACGCAAATTCTTCGGCCCTTATTGAATCAGACCTGGGAATCTCATTTAACAAGCCCTCCAGGGGATTCTGACACACCCTAAGATTTGAGCACCACTGCTCTAAACATTGCAATGGCAGGGTCTTAGGTCCAACAAGGCCCAGGGTGTGACTCTGAGGCCCTGAGACGGCAAAGTTCCAGTGGACATGCCGGGGGTGGGGGTGGGGAGGAGGTAGGGGGGATGGCGCTCTGTGTTGCTGAGGTCAGTGCAGCGTTTGCATTAACACACTTCCATGGATGTGAAAACCATCAATGCCAAGACAGTTTATTGCTAATGAAACAAAGTTAGACAGTCTCAACCTTTTGTTTCTGCTATTCCTAATCCTCCTTTTCCTGGGCTGTTGGCAGAAGTTGTTCATGCACAAAAGGAAAATTGCGTTGCTTAAACCAGGGTTTCTCAGCCTTGGCACTGTTGATGTTTTTGTCATGAGGAGCTGTCCTGTACGTGTTTAGCAGAATCCCCAGCCTCTATCCAGGACAAGTCAGTAGCAACTCCCATCCCCTTTCCCTCCCACTAAGGTGTGACAATCACAGATATTTCCAGACATTGCCAAGTATCTCCTGGGGGAAAAATTGCACCAGGTTGAGAACCACTGACTTAAACCAAACCATTTTCTTCAGAGTGGTAACAAAACAAAGGAGGGAGGTGGCAGCAAGAGGAGCAGGCTTCCAGCGACCCTTGGGGCGACTCACGTTGTAGGACCGGCCATGCCTCTGTCTCCACTGCACCAGCACTATCTGGGCGATGACCAGGGCGCAGAGGAAGATCAAGATCATCTCCATGTGCATGGACTCGTGGCCCCGGTGCATCTTATACATCCTCTCCTGCTGCAGGCTGGAACGGGCAAATGAGATGATCTGAAAAAGCTCTCAACTCTTGCACATTTAGCCAAAAAAAAAAAAAAAAGACTGGACTCATAGGAAGCAATTGGGGATTTCAAATGTAGGGGTTTTTAAGCTTTGGTTACAAAGTTTTCCTAAGGTTTTCTTGGTTCCTCCTTTTCCCCAGGGCTTGGGGAAGGGGCAGCTGAGAGGAGAAGCCTAAGTTTATCAGCAAAACCAATTCCTCTCAGTCCTTTGCTTTCCTGTGAGGTTTTGGCCTCAGCCTTGTCCTTTCAAGTTACGTGATAGGGTGGAAAAATCACTGATGGGCCCTAGGAAGACCTGGGTTCACGTCTCTGGTCTGCCACTTCATTGCCATGTAACTTTGGGAAAGTCACTCATCCTCTCTGAGCCTCAGTTTCCTCATTTGCAAATTTAAAATAATGATCCCTCCATACCTCACTGGATTGTTCTAAAGCTGTAAAGCACATATGTTATTTTGTTTGTACCTATATCAGAAATATTAATAATTATTAGGTTGAATCATATGAAATTGCCATTTTTGAAAGTCAAAAATAGTAAAATATCAGTAATGTCAAGTAATTTCTAATATTCTCAAGTAAAAGGATATCCTGCAGATGGTGCTTATGGAGAGAATATTATCCATGAGGCTATGGAAAACTCCTGAGTGAGTTGTATAAGTTTTTTTCATTATAAGGAGAAAGAAGAGGCCTAGTTTTCGACAGGCACAAACTTTCAAATGATGGCTGAATGTTTTGGTTTTTAGTTGGACTCAGTTTTGCACAACGGTAGTGAAAACCACTAAAATAGTATATCATCTGGTTTAACTTCCCATGGCAGAAGTGGCCTTGAAGAAAGCCTAGGGCTATGGTTCTTGACCTTGGCTGTAAATTGGAAATCACTAGGGAGCTTTTAAAAATCCCAGTGCCCAAGCTGTACCCCAGATCAATTAAATGACCATTGCTGCTGTTATGAGCTGACTTGTGTCCCCTCCCAAATTCACATGTTGAAGTCCTAACCCCCAGTCCCTCTGAATGTGACTATATTGGGAGAGAGGGACTTTAAAGAGGTAATTAAGGTAAAATGAGGTCACACGGGTGGGCCACCAGTTTGACTGGTGTCCTTATAAGAAGAGGGGATTAGAACACAGACCCACACAGAGGGAAGACCATGTGAAGATACAGTGAGAAGGTGGCCATCCGCAAGCCAAGTAAAAAGGCCTCAGAAGAAACCAAAACCTGCTGACACCTTGATCTGGGACTTCTAGCCTTCAGAATTTTGAGAAGATACATTTCTGTTGTTTACGCCACACAGTCTGTGGTATTTTGTTGTGGCAGCCCTAGCAAATGGGTTTGAATACAGATTTCCAGGCTGGGATCTAGGCATCAGTAATTTTTTTGTATGTGTGTGTGAGCAAGATTAGCCCTGGGCTAACATCTGTTGCCAATCCTCTTCTTTTTTGTTGAGGAAGATTGGCCCTGGGCTATCATCCGTGCCCATCTTCCTCTACTTTATATGGGACGCTGCCACAGCATGGCTTGATAAGTGGTGCATATGTCTGCTCCTGGGATCCGAACCTGTGAACCCTGGGCCACCAACGTGGAGCCACTAAACCACTAAGCCACCAGGCCGGTCCCTAGGCATCAGTAATTTTTAAAGGTCCTCATGTGATTTTAAGGTGCAGCCAAGATGGAGAACCAGTGGCCTAGAGGGAGAGAGAGAGGTCCAGGGTCAAGATTAGGGAAGGGGGGGAAGAATTATAAACGCTGCCAATCAACTACTTCATAAATATTGGTTAGTATTATCTTTCACTCCCAATGGGGCACCGTCAGTCATAAAATCCCTTAAAATGTCCACTTATGATTGGTTACAGTATGCATTTAGCTAGTGCATCAATCAGAAAACACTGCAGAGTAATATTCTGTGGCACAAGATTGTGACTCTTTAAAGGCAGTTGTTGGGTATACAGGTTGGGTTCTCCGCCTTTACCAGCATTTCCACAACGACTCTGAAGAGCAGAGAAGTATCCAACGTTTCAGAAAAGGGCCCCATCTGAATCCCAGGGGTGCCCCCTGCTGGAGAATGTATAGAAATGAGCCCACAGAGCCTAGTCAATATTCCTACTGGAGTTCAGCTTCTTTGAGATGGAATCTTAGAATGTTAGTGCTGGAAGGTACCATAGATGTCCTGAAACCCCTTCATTTATCAAATGAAGGGGCTGAAGTCCATATCAGGTAAACAACCTAAATAACATTACATGGCTGTTAGTCTCTGTGTTGGAAGCTGAGCTTAGGAGATGAGTACCATTTCTAGAACCTCTTTAAAAAATACACTGGTCCCTCTGAAGCAATGGGAAGTGAAGAAAAACAAAAGGGTACAAGAATTTAGTTATAGTTTTTACAGCCCCAAATCCAAAACAACTATTCAATATTCTGTGTAATGAATAGACTTTCAATCTAGGCCGTGTAGGCAGAAGAGTGAATTTATTATCAGTCTAAAATAGGACTTGCATAGATATATGACAAAATATGCTTTATGACATTAATCTGTTTTGCATATATAATGAAAATGCATCTCAAATGGTTAACCTACGTGGAAGTACTTTGGAAAGGATAATAGTATTTGGAAATACTATTACATTATACAAATGTAATAAGTATTTCCTATTTTGATTAGGAATATATTCATAATTGATTACCACAACGCAAAAAAGGAGGAACTTTTCACTTTTATTTCATTTCATTTGGTGCCCAGAGGGGCCCAATGCCTGCCTCCACAGTAGGCACCATAATACAGGGGAAACAGCATACAAAGAAAACCAGATGTATCTTGTGCCTAAAATAAATACTAATTTGACACTGCCCTATTTTGAAGGACATATAATGCAGCTTTGTGGGACTGTATAGAACACACCGTAGTTTTGGTCTACACTATCTTTGTGCACACATGGCTATGCTAACCCACCTTCTTTAGCCTGGGAAATTTACAAATAAAATGATGGCTTCATTTAATTTCTCAGACTGTTAAGATGGAAATCTAATTTCTAGTATAACAGCTGTAAAAAAAAATACTAATCACTTACCTCCACTCATCATCGGCAGAAAGCTTTGTGTGAGAGATCTGAAAAACATAAAAAGAGCCGTTCTCAAAATTTCCTTGTTTTCTTAGCTTCTATTTTACAGCATTACATGGGGAACCCAAACCATGAAAAACAGCGATGTTTGCTAGGACTGGAATAATTTAGGATGAAAGCCCTAATAATATGTTTGCTTAAGGAATTAAAACACACACACACACATGCACACCCCCCCCCCAAACAAAACAGTAAACAAGTCACTATTAATAAATATTTGATTCTGCTCTTAGGTTGGAGAACCAGATGAGGCTCCATTCCTGTGGTTCTGTTTGGCAATTCAGTCAAGGTTGTACAGTGTGGATTCCCAATAGGCAGTGTCACCCTGGCTTCTGGGATATGTGTGAATCTGCAAACCCCTGAAAAAACATCTATTTTGCTAGTGTCTTCAGTGATGCCCATGAGTTAATATCATTTTCAAATTCAAGGTTTTAGAGACAGAGCTGACCAGAGGCTCTACTTATTTGGAGCATTTTTGTGTCCTCCTGTTAATTTAATTTAATTTGAAGCCTGGCCCCAGGGAAGGGGGTAATCTGGCCTTGCCCTTGTAGACTGAGCTGGACAGCACAGAGACCATCCCCAGGAAGTGCTCTTGGACGACCTACTGAGTGTACCCACATGCTAACCCTTGATCACTGCTAATCCACTACATTTGGTCATTTGAAACCTTTAAGGCCAATCATTGGAAAGACATAATCTTATAACTTCCATGGAGAGCACAGACAGCTTAATCTTTAGTCCAGTAGTGTTAAAAGCTAAACTCCCCAATGATGGCAAAGAAGGGAAGGCAAATAAAATATTTGTTACACAAATCTGATATTAACCAGATTTTTTCTTCAAATGGCATAACCAATTCTGACAGATGGAAAGAAATAATGCCATCCATTGTTTGATCCAAGATTTCTCTGACTTGAGGTAAACAGATTCCATGATAAAATCTGTGCTTCTGTCAGAGGCTTGAGGGGTTCCCTTACAAGAGAGAACAAGGCTCCAGATGACACAGCGAAGTAGGGGCTTAGGCAACATTTGCACAATGCTGGGGCTTGCTGGATGACGCCAGGAAAGAGGAAGTGGGTGAAGCAACAGGCGATGCTGACAACTTCTCCAAGGCTCCCTGCCCCTGCTGATCCCACCAGGTGGTCCCTGATACTCCAATGGAGGTCATAGCAGCTGGGCTCAAGTGCTGCCTTCCAGGAGCAAAGCCTTAGTGGCAACCCTCAGGGAACAGCTGTACCCGAGTGCCCTCCTTTGTCTGATAAGTCCCTCTCTACTAACTTCTGCTTTGGGGGAGAAAACATTGCACGGGTTTGGAGCCCTGAGCCATGTAGCCACCCAGCACCACCAGCACCAAACACTGAGCTGACTGGTTCTTTGGACTTTGGGCACATCTCTAACCTATGTTTGTCTCCATCTCATTAGAAACTGGGGATTGATATAACAGCTGCTCTTGTCTACTTCACTGGAATATTCTGAGTATAAATAAGACACTATATGAGAGTTTTGTAGGAAAGTGCTTTATCCGAGGGCCGATTATCTCAATAAAAGTTATAATCTATAGGACTACCGGGTCCTTCTCTTTTTGCTGTTCACAATCCTCAGGTTCATAGTGCTGCTTGTTAAGATCAACTTAAAACAGGGAACTGGGTTTTTAGTTAAGTTGAGAAGAAACATTCCCTTTGCCTTTTACTAGCAATAGCCTTGGGCATAAATGAGTAACTATCCACCAGATTCCAAGTCATTTTTAATGAAGTATGATAAAAATTATGCTACTGAAGACCAAGAAGGCTTAGGTAGTGGAAATTGTAGCTGAAAAGATTTCTGCTAAATACAAGTAAGAACTTCCTTAGATCAAGTGATATTGAAA